TCTCGTCTCCTCTCCTCTCCTCTCCTCCCCACCCCTGGGAGCAGAGATGCTGAGAGCCAAACCTTCCCTCTGTGGGAATATAGGATTCACCTGCCTCAGACACCAGCTGCTATCAGAGTGTGTGTGCAGTGTGTGTGCTGACTGCCTGTGGTGTGAGAGAGCGTGCATACAATGAAGGAATGACAGAGAGAGGGAGAGAAAGAGAGGGAAAGAGAGAGAGGTAGGGAGGAGTAGTGTTCAATAGAGGTTAGTGTTTATCGATCGAGCCCTGAAGCTCCGGTCAACGGACAGACTCCCCCGAGACTGCTTCATCTTTCCCTCTGTCTCTTTCCCTTCCCCCTCAACAGCTCCCCCCTCCCCTTGTCTCTCGTCTACTCTCCTTCACACCAGATAATTCTTATCCTTTCATGTGGTGAGTTTCATATTCGCACGGCCGCTGAATATTTCTGTGTTTGCCGTCAAACTGCGCAGACGGTCGGCAGAGCCTGTCTCTTACCTCATCAAAGTTATGAGATGGAGAAGAAGAGTGGGAAGAGAGTTAGACAATGAATGGACCCGGCAGAGAGGGAGGTGAAACTAGAAAAGAGGAGAGCAAAGAGGCAGCATTACAGAGAAAATCATCCTTGAAAGGAAAGAATTGTGTGATCAGATTGATTCTGTGATCTGTTTTTATATATGATGAATTCTCATTTAAGTGTTTCTCTGCTGTGTTTTTATGTTTTCCAGGGCCGGGCTGAATTTACTGGAGGAAAAAGCCAGGAAGAAAATGTCCAATCACGGCTTCAACAGCCTGAGCGCTGCACAGGTCGGCCCCTCTGCAGTCTCTTCTGGTTCATCCATACACACTGATAACTACTTCCTGCTGCTAATGTTTTTTTGTTTCTTTGCCTGGATATTTCAATTAGCGGAAATAAATTAATCAATAATTAGCTGTTCCGCTCCCTGTTTACAGATGAAAGCTCGCTGTAAGCACAGAGGTCAGTCCAGCGCCCTGAGCTCGAGGCTGGCCAGGCGTGTAACCCAGCTGAAGCAGAAGGCTGCGGCCCAGCGTGGCGCACCAACAGGCATGCTGCACTGCAGAGGGACCCCTGGTGAGGAAGGCGCTTCGAAGAATCACTGCAGACAAGGAAGAAAAGGTGGGTGCAGAGGGAGAATATATGCACACACTTGATGTCGATTAAGCAGCACCCTAAAACTAAACTAAATCAACTCCCACACTGCTGTTGATCCATCAGACCTGCAGCAGGACTGGACAGCTGGTCAGACCATTCAGAGGAAAAGGGGTCGAAAACCCAAAGCGCTGATAAGCATCAACCTGAATAGAGCTCACCACAAGGACAGCCGGGCTTCTGAGAAACAGGAAGTTAGAGAAGAGAAGAGTGACAGCGAGAGCTCAGAGCGTGGTGAGTTACAGCGCGGGTCACATGTAAGGATTTTTGCAGTATGTAATCCTCCAGCCAATCAGCCTAACAAGGATCTTGCAGATGATGATTTGGCCATAAAGAATAAAATTGTAAAATGCCATCAAATCAATTGTATGGCCTTCTACTTAACCTGTTTTGTGTAAAAGAAATATTAAAGTGGACCACGAGTGCTGGTAAAAGATGTGTAATGCAGCTACAATGCCCCTATGTGCTTTGATAGCTAGAGTTAATAGGCTCTTACACATATGAGTCAAGCTGATTTGGCTGATGGCTCAAAGAACATCAACCAGACATTGTGAGATTTCGCTATGAGAGTATGTCTGTGTGCGTGTGTGTGT